CCCGCCACCCGCGAGCCGGGCCTCCGGGCGCCGCGGCCTCGGGAGCTTAGGCGCGGGGACACTCCAGCCCCAGCCACGTTAGGTTTCCCATTGAAATTCTCTCCCGATCTCTCCTCCCTCCTTGAGATCTCCAAAGTGCTGTGGACTCAGCACCTCGCTCCCAGATCTGCATCGGAATGTAGAAAAGATCTTTTTTTAAAAAAAGTTTTGAATTCCTCAATGATTTTTTCTTCTGGAAAGGCAGCTTAGGATAATTATGTCAGCTTTATTGAGGGCAGATTAGTTGAAGTCTGGACTCGGCGTTTCAATACACGTTGCACACGGGCGACAATGTGGGCATTGTTGGCTACTGTGTGTGAACTCATTCAAAATATACACTTTTAAACACCAAACCCAGTCCTGTCTAAATATACACAGTGCTCAGGGGAAAGACGGCTCTGACCCCGACAAATCTGCGTAAATCACACTTCCATAGTTACAGAAGCCTCACAAAGGGAGGCCCGGCTCAAGATGCTGATTACATCTTCTTAAAGGACATACCTTAGAATAAATACTCACGCTGGGTCTGGGGGCTGCAGTGGCCAGAGGGAGGGGAGGGAGGGCCCTCTCCATTCTGTGGGCCTTTGGGGGTCTGTTTTGGGCTTGTGGTGTTATTTTCCTTAGAGAAATCTGACAGTTTGTTATTTTTTCTTTACAATATGAGCAAAACAAGCAATTTTCAGGCCTATCCACTTCTTTGGGGCAGCCTTCAAAGTTTGAGGGCCCTTCTGGGGCTGGTGGGCAGGCCCAGAACTCCTGTAGGGGGTAGCGGGCTGGGGGGCTCCTGTGGGCCCCAGGCTTCTCAGCTTGGAGACCTCCACAGCTCCCAGGGAAAGCAGTCCAAGTCTAGGAGGAAACAAAGAAGAGCGTTGCTTTTTAAGATGGGAAGAAGTGTACAGTTATTTCTATTGCTATTTTAAAATTCAGGGCAATACAGGAGATCAGGGCTCTGTGACCCGGGAGGGGGAGGGCGGAGTAAAGGGAAGCCAGTTCCAGTGCAGAGGAAGGCGGGTAAATGTGGCCCATAATCGGGAAAGAGGAGCCCACAGTTGCTTCCAGTACCCTGGTTTCTGGACTCGGGCTCCCAGGCACCAAATGTCCCCCGAAATCCGAGATCCGGGCACAGCAGCCCGCAGGAGGAGGGTGGGCTCGCGGGGGGCTCACGGGGGCCCCATGACCGCATCTCCTTTCCTCCTCCCCAGTTAGTGCTCGCTAGGCGGCCGGTGCGGCCCTGCGCGCACGCTGTCCGCTCGGCCTCCCTCTGCCTCGCTTGTGGGGCTGGCCCTTGGCCTTCACGTAGCATGAGCAGCCTCTCACCTCCCAATAAAATCCCCCCTTTAATTGCTCATCCCATTCAACAACTCTATGCCGACGGCTTTTTAAATTTCTGGATCAACTTCTTTGGGGAAGAGGGAAGAAGGGAACTCAGAGGCCGCGAGGAAA